AGTTGAATCTGGAAGAGTCAGAACAAATGCACACCACACTTTTCAGATTTTTCTAAATCATCTTCCTTACACCATGGAGGTCTGTCATATAAAATCCTGATAAAATACAGTGACAGTTGCAATTGTAAAGTGTCAAAATGACATGATTAGTTTTATTAGTCAGTGCCAAGACGGTACATTTCTATGAGGCGTAAGTAAGCAAGGTGATCTCTGTGTCTCATTTGAATTTCTCCAACATGATATTTGATGGGAAATATTGCCTTCTAGAGATTCTTTCTCAGCAATCTAAATCAAATCACGCTGAGTAAAATCCTGTTGACATGTAGCTCTACAGTGTGTCCTTGTATGAAGAAATTCTGCTTTTCCAAAACTGAAGACACAGAAGCTCCTTCACATGCCTCAACATACATAGTTAGTCCCTCTGCCTTTGCTGAGTTGGCTTAATATGTTCTGAAACACAGTATATATTCCAGGTTAGTCTCCAACATGCTCAGCTTTCTGCTTTCTTTCAGGTTAAATGGTTAGAACTGCCAGCTCAGCCTTTCTGCTGGTGACTGCAGCAACGTTTTTTTTTTTTTTTTCGTCCAGATGGCATCACCATGACAGCTACAGTCAAGGATTAACTGTAGCAAGTGTATAAGCACTTACAAACTATGTTGCTAGGATGTTCATATTGGTATTGTTTTTCTTGTATTTTATGACATTCCCAAAAATAAGGATTTGATTTTAGATAGAGAAATTATATTAGCTTTGTGTGAACAACTTTCACATTTTGCTGTGCTGTTAGTGAGTGATGAAAATATATCTTAAAAACAAACCAAAAAAGAAAATGTATTAGTTTATTCCAAATTTACCTGAACTCCACATTGTTTCTCTCAGGATTGGTGGATTTATTTTAATCATTGGTTAATACTATGTAAATCCCATAATGACCTCAATCCATCCAAGTTTTATCATGCAACAAGAGTTAAAATTACACTGACTACAGATCTAATTGCACTACTAATCCACAGTAATTTTATCCAAGGCTTTTGTTTTGCAAAGTTTCAATCCTGAATCCTAATATTAAGTTTTATTTATTTATTTTCCAGCACCTTGGTGCATTTCTACAAGTACAATTATCATAACTTGGTTCAACTTTAGTTATTTGTGCACATCAAAGTAACGGTTTCCATACATTTCTCTACTGCTTTTGGAGACTCTCATTTGCTTTTGTCATTTCCATCAAAATCACCAGTACTTATCAATGCTGTACAATATGTACAAAAATGTTGAACAGTTGTGCAATAGCTGTGCAAATTGTGCCTAGAGCTGAGCATTTTCACGTACTGTCACCAAGATCTGATTATGTTGCACTGGAAAATACAGAGTGTATTGTCAAAAACATGTTCAAGCATTTTGCTCATTTTGTTCATAAACATATGTCAGGATTTCTATTTTGCTGACATTAATGTCATCGACATGAATTGTTAGTGAGGAATGGACTGAGCAAATTACATTCTTTTTCCAATTAGCGATCAGGTTTTGGACTGTAATTGTTTTGAGAAATACACTAGCTGTTGTGCAAAAGTTAAGACTGATATGAGAAATGCACCAAAGCGCCCGGAAAAAAAAACAAAACTTTAAGGTAGCGTATAAACGATGAAATCATAGTTAAGACATGACTGCCATCTTGTGGCCAAATATGGTAAATGCGGCTTATCTTTTCTTCAAATCATTTCTTTTCTAATCTCTTCAATAGTCAAATAATAACTAAACACACATTTTAGATCTTATTTACTTAAGTAGTTCAGTGGTACTACAACTATAAATTATAATAAAATTTAGAGAATTAAAAAAATATTTTAAAGCACATTTCAGCAACAAGGCAGTTCAGTCTTTATGTCATAAAAACACAAAAAAACAAAATCATAAAAGACACCACACAGTCAACAACTGAGAAAACCAGAAAACATTTTACATTTTGTCAAGTACCATCGTCAAATATGTCGGTCAATGTTTCACTTATTATGGTTCAAAAGCAACCCACTTTGTGGGGAGAAATCTGTTCTCTGGTGAAAACAAATCTTTTTATGCCAACTAATAGAGATGAGGAAACTTCTGAGTCCATCTAATTTTTAATTGAAAGGAGTTGTTGTGTTTGTTTTCACATAAGTTTTATAGCAGATGTTGGAGATCAAATACATAGATACAGATGTACCAATGTATAAATAATGTTCCAAACAGGAACCCAAACCATTTGGGTAGCAAAACATAAAATTGGATCCACGAAAATGCCTTATTAGTAGCTTTATTTTAGAATATTTTAATTCGAGCTACACAGCAGTGCAGCTATGCTCAAAACCAACAAAAGACCAAATGGGGAAACCGTGAACAACCATCAGTGATAAGGTCAAATGAATGAAAGCATAGGCTGCTGCTTTCTCTTTGTTTTTATATCTGATTCACTTTGACAGTGACATTTTCCTCAAAGGGAGCAATATGGTGACCTTTCTTTGTGGCACTCAGTGCCACATTTCCAGTTTGAGATCTGTCACTGTGACAGATCAGATAAAGCTCCTCTGTGGCCTCGAGAGGGCTGAAAAAAGCAAAGGAAGGAGAAAATAGTGGTGACTGTTTCAGTTTGTGACAAGTGATGTAAACTCTGTGAAGCCAACTTTTATGTGAGAAAAACAATATTCCAACACAGTTCTGCAACACTAGTTTTTTTTTTTTTTTTTTTTTTAAACCAGGCTCAGTTAATAATTCAAGATGCTGCATGTATATATAAAAACAAAGCTGATCAATTTTTAAAATATACTCGGATAAGAGTAGTACTATTTCAACAACATACTTATACATGAGAAAAAGTAGAACGTAATCATTCAAACTATTACCTAAAATGTGTTCAGTAAAAATTTAACTTGTGTCCCGATTACTACTGTTCTGATCTGATTTAATTAACAACAATTATGTAATATTACAGACAAAACATAAAATTATGAACAGGTTCTGGTGCATTGAATAGCAAAATTATATAGAATAAAATAAAAACTTAAATCACATAATTACAAAATAAATTCAGGGAGAAGAAACAAATCTCAGTTTTTCACAAAATAAAACATTTGAAATCAGTAATTACAACTGTGAACGTAAGCATGTTAGAATAAACAAACTGTTGGCAGTATGCTTATTTGACCTCCAACAGGGTCAGCAGGCATAAAATAACATCAGAACAATGAAGCTTGTTTACAAACCAAAAGTTTTATCAGATGTGCTTATGTGTCTGATGCATTGTGGTTTATAACGTTCTTGTTTGTCATTGTGTTAAGTAACACGAGCAAGAAAATTTACTCAACTAAGAGCAAAAGTAAATAGTATGCAGCTCTAAAATTCCTGCTAGAAGATTTTTTTTTTTCAAAACATTCCTGAAATTAATTTAACCAAGTATAGACGCCTAGTTACTATCAGCAATTAAGTATTTACCTAAAACATAGAGACAGCAAGCATCTTGGGTTAGAGCCTTCAAAGCATTTTAATGGCATAGTAAAGTGCAATTGTTACTAGTATTTTACCTAATGAAATTCAGAAAAGATTGGAGTACATATAAGATTTTACCCCAATTTTTTCATGATAACTCTACACTTGAAATCCCGTATGGCCAACTCCATCCATCCATTTTCTTTACACCCTTGTCCCTTAGTGGGGTCGGGAGAGGTGCTGGTACCCATCTCCAGCTAACATTCTGGGCGAGAGGCGGGGTTCACACTGGATAGGTCGCCAGTCTGTCACAGAGCAACACAGAGACACACAGGACAAACAACCATGCACACACACACACACACCTAGGGGCAATTTGGAGAGGCCAATTAACCTGACAGTCATGTTTTTGGACTGTGGGAGGAAACCGGAGTACCCGGAGAGAACCCACGCATGCACAGGGAGAACATGAAACTCCATGCAGAAAGACCAGGGCCGGGAATAGGGCCATACTGTGCAGCCCAGTATGGCCAATTGTCTTTAGCAAAAATAATATTTTGTGTAATATAATCTTAATATTAATTCAGTTGTTCTTTAACAGCCTAAGATATTTGTTCAAATCACAGGACAGCAAAGTTATGGAGGATCTTCTGGTCAGAAAAGACTGCAAGTACTGGTCTGTATGTCAGTCTGTGTGGTACTGCTGATTAATTAGCGAAACTGCTTGCCAGCAAGTCTTTTCGAGGTCTTGACATTTTGTCATTTGAAATTCGATCTGCTTTCTAGAAATCTGGGAGAAAAGTAATGTTGGTCATTTGTATAGTATCAGGTAAATAAAATAGTGATTAGAGGCAATTCAAACCTCTGCATAATAGAGTGATATTTTTGCATTTGATGAGAAAATATTGCTGCTCCGGATCCTCTGTGTTTGTTTGTCTCCTGCCTGCATGATCCTATCTGGGTTAGCTTCCATGTTATTTGACCTTGAGCGTATAGCTGCAGTGGTGCATTCTGCTGCTGATTTATTAGCTTCTGACTACAGCTGCACAAATGAAAAGTTTTTAATAAAAATAATTATCAAGAAGTCAACCATATACTTGTTTATATTAAAATATGAACACGTTTACTTCTTTTGGCCACAAAATAATTGTGAATCATTTGGTGCAATTGTAATATATGTGTTTTCTAAATCAAATATTGCATTTCTTAATGAGTTGTGTATATGTGTGCATGTAAAAGTGTTTACATAAACTAATCTAAAAAAAACCCACATGGTTTTACTGCTGTTTCCTTGGTAACAAGCAAAACCTTGCCCTTTTAGCCTGCTGGCATTCGTGTGGACTGTACCACTCTGTGGGGGCTAACGGGGGTGCTAGCACACCCACCTTACACAATTGCCATGCTTAACTCGCATCATAGCGTCAGAAATATTTAAGATAAGTATATAATGTGTAAGTATAACCTCTGGTTAATTCTTTCAGGCTTCAAACGACAAATATAAGGGTGTATTTTATTCATTTACGGTTCGGCTCACCCCGGAAAACTACGTCATTACATTAAAATGACGGTCGTACAGTAAGCTGTCAAAAGCTTGTTGCTTAAATCTTTGCAGCGCTGCAAAGTGGGGAAGAAATTAGGTCGGACAAGCTTTAATTCTTGTTGCAGGGCAGGAATTAGACGGACTGTTGAACAGACATATCGGGGACACTTGACATCTTGTTTTCCGCTAGTTCAGTCGCCGTTTTGTCCGTGTGTCCTCCTGGCTGCTGCTGCGTGATATCCTTTCCTAACGATGAGGTAAGCAGATCCTCTCATTAGCGCTGACACAAGCTAATAAATATTACAGTTAAGGTACTCCATCGTGTTTTATAGTGACAGTGCTGCATATACGTTGATAGCTAAGTACAAAAAGCATCATTTTTAGGTGAGGAAAAGGATGTAAATCACTGCTTTCCTTCAACCATCAATCTGTGCTGATGACAAGGTGTGATAGAAGATAGCGTCAGATAGATTATCGGTTCCCAAAGTTGGGTTCGGGGCCCCACTCGTGGTCGCAAATCGGTATAGGGTGTGAAGATCAAATTCAGAAGTCAAAATGTATAACCAAACTGTTTTATGAAAGCTTATTTATGGTAAATGTGATATATGAGATTAAAATAGTTATAAATCCATCAAATACAATGTGTTGGCTGTTCATGCAGTTTTACTAATTATGTAAGTAAAAAACTTTGAAGTATACGTTTAAATATTTATGGATGTTAGCTTTACATTTACTTCTCATTCCTTACTGCACAGTTTTATCCTAGTCTGCTGTGGATTTATTATTATTACTACTATTATTCGTAGTAGATGTAGTAGTAGTAGAAGTAGAAGTAGTAATAGCTGTAGTATTGCTTTTGTGGTGGTTTTTAAAGAGTAGGCTATATCTCTCTTGCTTCCATTTGATTTTCAATTTTGCTGCTGCAAATTGGGAATTTCCGTCCTAAGGGAGAAATAAGGGAATATTCTGTTCTAAATACTACATTTGTTTATACAGATTAAAAATCAAGAAGTGAAAAGTTGTCTCTCTGTTTCATTGTGCAGCCACTCCTCTAACTGCAAATCCAGTGACTTAAACAAAGACCACAGTTACTGACTCACCACTAATAACAACTACCCACCTACTTCCTTGGATTACAAGTAGCAAATGTTTACTTAATCATTAGTTAGATCACAAGTCACTGCCACTGCTAATGTGGGCCTCTGTAGTTTAAAAAGTTTGGGAAAGACAGCAATAGATGATTTAATGAGGTTACAAACTATGTTGTATTTATTTAATTTTAGCTAATTTAAAAATATATATAAATGTATTAGCCATATTTTTATCCTAGGTAGAACCATACTATATGTTTGAACTGCTTTGTGGCCTAAGAATAAAACAAAAATCATCCAAAACATGGTCAAAGTTTACTGTAAGCTTTGAAACAAATTAAAGTTTCAAGACCAGGATGAAAAAAAAAATCTGAGGCATTAATGTGGTTTCCTTTTCAAAAGTTTATACGTACATAATACATACATGTATAAGAGAGCAACACAGTTTCATACGGTTTTGACATTAGTCTAAAAATAAACCTATCTGAAATTAAAGCTTGCCTTTTATAGAGTTGTAATTTAGATAGGCTTTAATTAAAATACAGTTTGTGACACATGCCTGGTTGCGAAGTAACTAACTTTAAGATCATGTTAGAATATTAAAAATATTCGAGCCAGTGCTTTTTTTGTGTGCTTTCAATGCGTAAATATGGGTCTCCAGTAGTCATACTAAAGGTGTAAGTGGGTTAGCAGGAAGTTTTTCCAGTTGCAGATCTGCTGCCACGTTCCTATTGGACGGTTTCAGACTGGGAGGGTCTTTCCAGAGCCCAGCACACAGACAGGAAGGGGGTGGCTGGAAATGTTTTAGTCAGAGCCTGGCAGACAGTTTGTTTTGACTGTTTGGGGGGGAAAAAAATCCAGTTTTTAGTCTGTGAGTCGGTGGGACAGGAAGGAGAGGGTAAGAGTGTTTAACTGTCACGATTGTAACAACCAGGCAGCTGAAAATGTTCTCCTAGCTTTCATTATCAGCTTCAGAAAGCAGTTTAGAGCTGCATGGAGTGAGAGAGGCAGCCTTTTTTTGACCCGTTTCCTGACTTGCGCCTAAAGGAATTTGCTGCTGTATGCTTTGGTTTTTCACAGACGGTTGCTAAAAAGAAAGAGGAAGAACATCAGAGGTCTGTCTTAAAGTCTGAGCACGATCTTTCCTTCTGACGGAGAAACCAAAGATTTAAGTTCATGAAGTAAATAATTGTGAATCATATGGTGCAATCAACTACCAAGATTTTCCACCTCTTTCGTCGTAGATCTACTGTACATATTTAACTCTGGTTTCTCTTCCTGTTCCAGTGTCGGGTGTTTATGTTTCTCGTTACTATCTCTTATCTGCATAAGGCGTGGTGTACTTGGAGTCAGGATTTCTGGCTAGATGTTCATGTAATGTTATCAACAGACCTGGAAGAGCGCCGCATTTGACCTTTAAACTTTAGTGTACAAGGAAAAGTATGTATTGCTGAAGTAGAATGGCACAATAACCAAAGGTTTGGCACACGTGTACGCCAACTATAGATTGGAGCTCGGAAATATCCACACACTGGTTTTGATTAATTGATCGTCATGTCTCTACTCAGCTACACGGTCGAGCAGATAAACAGCTGAGGCTTTGTGCGCGTCATTCAACAAGCTAATGTTTGATGAGGAAGTGTGGCCTAAAAACATCTGTTGTTATGTAGGTGAAATGTGTAGCTTTGTCAAGTTAGAAATTATAATATTTGTAATCTCTCTCAAAAGATAATTAAATAATGCTGTGAGCAAGATCAAAGAGAAAAAAATATTACCGATGTTTAGTTGGATTTTTATAATTACTGTGCTAAGCATTTCTTTAATTAGAGAGGCGCTTTGTGGATGCATAAATTGTAGTAGAGCTAGCATAATTTGAGCGTATTTTGTAGGTGTTTTCGTTTAGGATGGAAAATGTCAAATACATTTAAATATGGGTTTAGTTCTGTATGGATTCAATGTTTCATAAAATAAAATGTTTATTAACTATTATTCCTACATACTGAAATGATTTCATTATATCTAATGTATACCTGAAAAAAGATAGGCATCTTTGTAAAGATGTAAAATAAGAATAGGTTTGTAAATAAATCTGTTATTGTTAACATTTTACTGAAAATGTCATGTAGAAAATAAACAATACCTTCTGAATAATCAGTGGAAAAATCTTCAGTCTAACCCTTCCTATACTTCCTGAATAGATTTTTTACAAATTCCCACTGGTATTTTAATGATTTATCCATGATGATGGACTGGGCGACTCTTGGCCATCACCCTAATCTTGTATGCGTTGTATGTTGCTGTACATTTGGAGTGGCGCCATTTCAGGTCCCTACAGACCCGTTTCTGGTGTCTCATTGAAAGGACTTTGGACTCATGTGTTGAGTAATTAGATTTGTTTTGTTTTAAATATTACTTTTCTAGACCTTGGAATACCTTGGTGTTAAAAATAGGATTTTCTGATTCTTGTCTCATGAATTGTCTTTTGTTGTTTGTGCAGACAGACCTTCAATGACTTCATTTATTAATCATCATTTTTACAATGATTGTTAAATTGTTCATAAACAATTAACAATAATGACTGTGATTAGTCATAATTTGGGAACGCTGAGTTCAGTGTCACTAGGCACAACTTGTATTATTATTATTATTATTATTATTATAAATCCTTTGTCATTGTGAGACTCATTGTCTCATTTGCAAGGGAGACCAGTTACATCAACAACAAAACATAAAAACAGTAATAATACAATCCACTAAACTCTTCTGAAGATCAGTTCCATAAAATATCAGCAGGGCAGTTTTTTCTGATTGCGTACAGACATGTTTTCAAATATTTTTGTTAAAAATTGGAACTTCCCATGTTTGACCAGAACCATGTTCCAGGTGGAGGGACCAGAGAAGGAGAATGCTTTATTCTCAAACTCAGTATTGGCATCAAGAAATGACCTAATTAAAGCCTGTCTGTTAACATAAAGTAGGCTGACGATCTGAAAAAGCAAAGCATCACACACCAAAGCAAAGAAAATAATGAATGGATGACAACTGCCAGTCTCTTAAAGTGTCTCAAAATTGTTCCTGTGGCCGAATGCTGCTTTTGTTCTTCACAAACTGAACGACATCTCATTGAACCTGGAAATCTGCTCTCTAGCAGAAAATCCCTTTAGGAAAAGTTTCACACGTTTAGTTTGATATCAGTATTTGTTTATTGATCTGAAACATTTCAGTGTGAAAGGAGAAATCTATACGTTGCCTCATGTCAGATGGGACTAGGCTTGTCACAATAGTAAATTTGGCTGGACGATAAGTTGTCCCAGAGGTCATTGCGGTCATTTTCAAGTTTCATCATGGTAATGGGATAAAATGCAAGAACACATTCTCAAAGATCAACAAACTTTAACTTATAATGAACATTTAAGATTGGAACTGGAATATATTTTATATGTCCAAAATAAATAAACAAAACAACTGAAACTACAAAAAAGAAAAAAAGGAAGTCTCTGTAAACAAAATTGTTGTTCAAATAATAAAGTTGAAAGCAATTCACCAGACTGAAGACTTCTGACATCAGTTTGGAAATTGATAAATCATGCAAATGAAAATTATTGAGCTTGTTTTAAATTTATTATACAATTATTACTAATTCATTCATTGCTTATTAAGACAGACCTAGAGAAGACTAATTCTTAGTATCAATTATTCATTGAGTAACTAGTGAGCTTTTTCCTTTATTTATTAAAAGAAGGAACATGAACATTTTTTAATTTGACTGTTTTGTAGTGAAACAACAGTGCAAATGAAACAACACAAACAAAACAACCACATTAAAATATTTGAAAAAGTTTTCAAAATGACCTAAAATTATTAGTTTTAAATAAGCATGTTTTAAATAAGCATATTGTACCTTGTACTGGAAGGCATTTTAGCTTTAATTGTGTTTTTTTCCCTTTCAGATCAGCAAAAGAAGTGCCTTTGAGAAGACAACCCCAGTCTGAAGCTGGTTCCCAGTCATAGCTGGCCTATGCTCCGTTTTTAAAGACCAATCTAAGAACTAACATATGAAATCTCGACAGCAAACCTTTTGGTGCAAGTCTGCACACGTTCAGCACCAAGAAGATTACTGAACTTTAGCCACAAGAAGCAGAAACGGAGAGAAGAAAATGACCTAAGAATGTTTTGCTGAAATAACATCTGGACGTGGATTCTTTGAAACAAAGCAAAGAACAAAGCTGCATTTAAACTTACATGTTGTATTAATCTCCAGCTTTTATTGTGGGATTTCTTTGAACCGTGGGTTGACATTTAACATTTACTGTGTGGTGAAACCTCTTGGACATGGCGCTAAATATGTCTTCAGTTAGAGACACCAAATGGCTGACATTGGAAGTCTGTCGCCAGTTTCAGCGGGGAAACTGTTCACGCAGTGATGAGGAATGCAAATTTGCACATCCACCCAAGAGCTGCCAGGTGGAAAATGGAAGAGTCATTGCCTGCTTTGATTCTTTGAAGGTAAGATATATGTCATTGATTCTTTATTCTAAAGTGAAACTCACCCATAACGTAAAGGTTTGATTGAAAAAATATCAGAATTAACAGTTAGTTGTATTCAAATTACTGGACATAGTAAACTGTCATGTTGTTAAGTGTATATGGTCAACATTCACCTATTTGTATGGGGGAATTTTACTGCCATAATTCGAGAGCACAGATTCTAGATAGATAGCGGCGCAGGTTGCTACAATCAATAGTAGCCACACAGGCACACCCAGTAGAAGAAAACAAACACATCCAGTACAACACTTTCATCCTATTGGCTGAGAGGTTGCCAGGCGACGGTACTTTTTTGTTCCAAGGGCCAGCCGAAAATGACTCGCAAGCACACTGAATATTTGAAAGAGAGCAGAAGTTTTGAGTACAAGCATAACAAGTTTTGAGAAGAAAGACATGAAGTCCTGCTTTCAAACTGAAAATGTGTGCTCTCGAATTATGGCAGAAACATTCCCCCATATATTTGTCTCATGTTTACCTTATGCCACTGCCACTATTGGCTAACCAATACATTATTTGACTGGAAATGATGTGATTCATAACAACTGCTTTGCTACCAAAACTCACCATTTGAAGTAAAACTATCACATTTGTTTGCTTTAATATGGAAACATTTTGATATTTCTATTTGCAGTAGCTTTAATAGTTGCTGAGTTAAATACACCATTTAAAAACCTTGAACTTAAACGAGATTTAAAGCTTTTTCATACTTTATATCTACTTTTAATGGCTGTTTTTTCTAGTAGAATGAGATCAATTCGCCTGTTCTATTACATTAAATGCAATTTAATTTGCAGTTTTCCATAACAGTTGTTAGATATGTCCATCATATTAACTGAGACCTTCTAAAGTCTTTTTCAGTGCAGCACTCTGATGTGGATTCCCCTTAAAGCTTTTATTCATTTGACCCTTGTTAAGTCGGTAAAGATATGTAGGAGTGTTTAATTTGCCATCTGATTTCCTGTTTGCATGAGGTGTCAAACAGTCAGATCAATTCCTCTGCAGTTATTCAAAATGGGAACAATAAGAGAACACGCCATTGAAGAAAGGAAGATTTATAAGTTAAAAAAAGGAAAAAGGAGGTGAGGTAAAATAAAAATATTCCAAGTTTGCTGTCATAGAACTGCAGGAAAATGAGATTGTACTGATCCAATAAAAGATTGAAGTTTCTTTATCAGAGGTGGTAATAAATATGTAGGGTCTTAGTTGACTTTAGTTTAAAGCACTGATCAAACAACTGACACTTAATAAGATAAGTAATTATAATCTTCCCCTAAAGGTTTTAATAATACAGAAATAATCCTGTCCATTTTCAGTGTTTATTTTCCCTAATGAAGATTTCTCAAAGTCCCTCACCGGATTAAGATGCCGACACTTCCAGACACTTAAAATCAAAACCACACTAAATTAGAACACCGTCCTCTCAAATATCATGTAAAATCCCAAACAATCAAGCAATTTTCCATTAAAAAAGACAAAATACCTGCCATATGTTGTTATATTTGGTTATATTTAAAATAATTAATCTCACATCCAATTGGATTAGAGCCAGTTTATCCTTGCTCCCTTTGCCTGTATGGAGCCGGTTCTGCCTTAATCCACTCTAACACGTTTAGTTGCACGTCCAGTACAGCTTGCTCCTGGGATTATTCTCATGTTGAGTCTTTGCTTGAGCTCTTCCTTTTACTTTTATGAACTGCTCCAATGTGCCCTTATGGTCGAGAGGCTAAAAGCATTAACAGAAAGTATAGACCCCTTATTTTGTTATCTGAAAAGGGGAATTGGAATAATACTTAGATTATTTTAAACACATCTGTAAATGTAGCCACAGACTTTTTCTTTTCTTTTTTAACGTAATTTTGTCACGTTCTCTTTGTGTTTAAAAGAGTTTTTGTACTTTATTTTAATTCTTCTTAATATCAGCTTTAGATATTAGCAAAAAAAAAATTTTTGTGGAGTGGAGTTCATTAAATTACTGAGGTCAGCCATTGAAGTGAATACTTGTCATTTTTGTAGAGCCGCTCTTTCTGCTTCATTGTTACCTTGTGAACTTGGAACTAGCTCTTTAAATGAATGCAAAATGAATTTTATATTCTCCAGTCTTGCATGCTTAGCAGCCATACTTTAAGCTTTTTGATTTTAAGTCTGTAGAGCAAATGACTATAAATAACTATCTCTCTGGGTACTTTACTTCTTTAGGCAGCAAGGTGTTCTTGCTGCTGTAAAAATGCTTGAGGTATGATTTTCTTCACCACGTTAAACTTTCGAACTTGAGTTATGAACCACTGACTCCTATAGATTTACTGAGGGGAACTGTAGCGCTAGAATTTGCACTGACCAAGTGAAGGAATGTATTATTAAGTGAAGATTCCTTTTAAGCCACTGAGTCTAAACTTTGAAATTTGGCTTTGAGGGAAGATACATAATATTAAACCACCACATTTTTTTTCCTAATAATCATCTTTGCCTACCCAGGAAGATGTTTTTACCAATACTTTTTTTGTAATGTTTAACTGTCTTCATCACGCTATGCTCCATATAATTTGTTAAATTCCAGGCAATTACTATTGATGCTGCACAAATGTGTCCTAACAGACCCAACTTGCTGTAAGAGGAATGTGCTCAGGCTTTGATTTTGACTCATTGGTATCTCATGACTTGTCAGAGTTGTTGATGCGCAAAACCTATCCTGTTGTTTTGATGACTTTACACGTCAGCTTTAGGAGATGCATCGAAGCATTTAAGAGACAGATGCTTAAAACAATTCTGTAAACTCAAACTGAGGAAAAAATGTAATTTCATATTTCACATCTACATTAAAAATAACAACTCAGAAAAATTTGGCTGCTCTACATTACTGGAAAAGAAAACTGAATGTATCCATCCATCCAACCAACCAAGCAAACAAACAGACAAATTTTAGGAAGCCTTTCTGTGGCTATTTATGTCATTAATGTTGATGTTAACATGCTCTGCCCAATTATTTCCTAGTATGGTGAAATGTTAGGTTTGCAGAGCATAAATTTCTTGTCTAAGGATGAGGCAGGTTGATCAAGAATCTATGCAAAGTGGCACATGATTGGATATTTTTGTCAAAAAAATATTGATACAACTTGTAACACAAACCAATGAAAAGTTGTAATATGAGAGTTTCAGGAACCTACGACATTTTTCTATGCATCAGAAACACTTCTGAAACTTACCACTGAGATAGTAGATGTGACATATTTAAAACATTCCTTTTTTTGGCTTTAAATAAAGCTGCTCTACAGTTGTATTAGTCATATTGCTATAATGCCTGACATGTCTTAGTGTTTAGTTATTAAACAATTATAATTGAAGTATTTTTATACCATTTAGTAAAATGGGTGATGCTTTTATATGAGTGTATTTTAAATGCATAGTTTCTTTTGTCAAAGATCAATAGTTGTATTCATTAACAAGATGAATACAAATGGAAATTTGACAGCTCCTGTGTTTATTTTTAGTTTCTTTCTGGCTTTTCTCCCAATGTAGGGCAGATGCTCAAGAGAAAACTGCAAGTACCTCCATCCTCCTTCTCACCTGAAAACCCAGTTGGAGATAAATGGGCGCAACAACCTCATCCAGCAGAAGACAGCCGCTGCTGTGCTTGCTCAGCAGATGCAGCTGATGATTCCTGGACCGAGTCTGCAGCCTGTGGTGAGATCCTTAGAATGACTCACAATGTACTTTTATTTTGTGACTAAAATGTAACACAGGTCCTCTGCCGTCATTGTCAACATCTTCTGCTCCACAGGGACTCGGCGCTAATACCAGTCTTGGTTATGGGTCATATATCACCCCTTTGAACCATGGAATGAGTCTCATTCCCTCAGACATCCTCTCCAGCACCCCGGTTCTTGTCCCTGGCAGCTCAGCTGTCACGGTCCAGTGTTCCTCCTCCTCCTCTTCCTCATCTTCCTCTTCTCCATCACAGAAGCTGCCGCGTGCAGACAAATTAGAGGTATTAAAAGCTCCGGGAAGTTTAATTTAATATAAAACCACATTAATACTTCTGGGGCTCGTAATGGGCTGCAGCTAAACTCCTTTCTCCATCTTAATAACTTCTTTCAGGTGTGCCGGGAGTTTCAGCGGGGCAACTGCTCGAGAGGGGAGACAGACTGCCGCTTTGCTCATCCCACTGACAGCCCAATGATTGACACCACCGATAATACAGTCACTGTTTGCATGGACTACATCAAGAGCCGCTGCTCCAGGGAGAAGTGCAAGTATTTTCACCCGCCTGCACACTTGCAGGCCAAAATCAAATCCAGTCAACAGCAAGTCAGTCAGACCGGGATGGCAGGCCAGGTCACAGCTGCAGCCATGGTAAGACAGAGTCTCTTACTCAAGTTCATCAGTCGCCTCCACACTGTGTGACAGCATATAGGCTGCGTCTCAGCCAGTGAGATCCGGTAGTTCAAGCAAAGAAAATCTGAATTGAAAATCTCTTTGCAATTGATACGAGTCTCCTGCTACATGGCACCATAAAACATGACCGTTATGCACTGCATTATTGTTAACATCTTCCAATATGCCATCAGACAACCTCACTTGCACAATTTACACAGCATGCTCTGCTGCATTCTGTTAACTGAGAAATATGTTCGCATATAAGACAGGGAAAAAAGGAATTTGTTACATTTGCTTAAATAAAAGAACAGCCAGTACAAAATAAATCAAATCTAAGCAAAAAAAGCTTTGCAAAACCTAAAATGTAATTATGTATGTATATGTCAGTATCCACTAAAGAGATAATGATAAGCATATGCACATCACAGAAGTCAAAAGTACTCGTTGTTGTGTTCGAATGGGACCGGTTAGGTCAAATTGTTTAAACGGTTTAAATTTTGTTTTCAGTAGATGTTTGTCGAATGCGTGCCATAGCTGATGTGTAGCATCTGCAAAAGTTTTCACTGCGAAAAAAAATCCAAATATAACATGTCGCATGTTACTAAAATTAGTCTGTTTTTTAAAAAAAACTCAAAAATATTCAGCATTCTTGAATAGAAAAACTGAATTTTGACTGAAATCATTGTTTTGTGTTTCTGCAGGCGAATCTTATTGGTAGAATTGATGAAAATCTCACCAGCTGAATATGCAGTGCCTTTCAAAAGCAATAACACTCATTAAACTTTTTTTCACATTTTAACCTGTTATCTTCTAACTTCAAAGTATTTTATCATTTTATGCGATAGGCCAACCAAACGTGTAATAAAATTATAAACTGGAAATAAAAGGATAGATTTTCAAAAAAAAAATCCGTTTGCATTTTTATCTATAGTCAGGATGTGCTGTCTTTAAAATGTGGACTTTGTTGCCATTTCATTATGTCAACGTTTCCTGGTCTCTTTTTGAATTTCTTCTATTCCCCATAAATAAGCCAAAGAAAGTTTTAATATTTTTTCATGAGCTAAAAGAACATCAAGTTGTAAACAAACCTTATAGTGACAAAATTATTGTTTTTGTCATGCAAAAGTAAATAGTGTTTTCTCTTTACATTGGTGAAGAAAAGAAAATCACATAGCAGCATTTCCGAGGCTTAAAGAAGTATCACTTTTGTTGCAGAAGATACTGTGGAACCATGATTGGATATAATAACAGCTTTCCAGTATAATAACAGCTACTTTGTTTTCCATCGCAATGCTAAATTTAGAGCATGTGTATTTCTTGATAGCCATCTGCAAAGGCTTAGTCAGTACAGTCATGTAGTGTACGGTGGATCCTAAACACGCTTCTCCTAAATCCCAGTTTCTTATGTAAACAACCTGTCTAAACTTTTTTACTTGATTTTTCTTAAAGGTAAACAATTAATAGAAAACTAATATATAAAAAAGAACTGTGTAAAAAACTATTTGCACAAACTTCAGCAAAAATGCACATTTTGGTTGATTTTTTTTATTATTCACTCTTCCTGAGTTCACATCTGCATCATAACAGTGAGTCAGACTATCCAGGAATGTGGTATTTTTCTAACATTTCTAATTTGCATTTTTTTTTTATCTCAAGTTAAAGTTAGACAGAATCAAAAGGGTCTATTTGCATGAGCGTATTAGTCAGGAGAAGAGTGCAGATGATTCCAAGATGATATACGACATATACAAGAGTTTATGTAGTTTTTCAAAGCAATGAGACACTAAAGAGCTGTCTTGTTTTGGTTCACTGTCATCATTATGCATATATTTGCTATATTTGTTTTAATAGACTTCATTTTTTTACTCTCAAAAGCAGTTATATTCTTTTAATGTACTTTTATGTAAAGGAGGCATCCATCATTCCACCCAAAGCTTTGCAGTAAATGCAGTAAATGGAGCTCCACTCTGTGCTTTATGACGCTGGACGCATGTTTCATCTGTTGATTTGTGGCACTTCTTTGGGCTGGCTCTCATAAAACCAAGTCATCTTTCATTTAACAGTAACATTTTCAGTGCCTGCTGTGTTTTTTCATTTATATCCCTCTCTCAGAGCCATAAGATCGGCATAATAGGTCTAAAACTCTGCTATTCGTGCAAATCTCCACTAATTTTACTACATTTTGATTATATTAACCTCCTCTGAGCTAATCTAGTGAAATCTATCAAGTGCATTTTGAGGGTATATGTATTTACACGTAATCATAGTAAATCTTTGCTAAATCTACTCATTAAAACAAATTGACTTAGTGTTTTTTTAATCATTTAGTCACCCTAGAATATGTTTTTGTTACTGTGCATGAATATTTATGTGGTATACTGCATTCAGATTATTTTGTTTTTGTTTCCCCCCTCCTCTCACCTTCCCACAATGCTGTCCTCCATGATGCACCTCTTCTTGCTGTTACCTGTATGTTAATGCGCTTGAACCCCATTGGCCCACTGCCATCATGTGCTCGCTGCCTGCTATTAAAAGACTCAGTCGACCGCCAAAGCAATGAAGCGACCCCTCGAGGCAGCTGTAGACCTGGTACTTTTCACCTTTTGCTTTGCATGTAGCTGTTGTGTCATTTAAAAAAAAAAAAAAAAAAAAAAAAACTTTTTTTATTTTTGTCATTTGTGATTTACAGCTTCTTCATGTAGCATCTTATCTGTGCACAGCCACCATCAGTAAATGCTTAAACAACCAAATTTGTTCTTTGTTTTTGTTAATATTTTATCCTCATCATAACTTGAGGCTTCAACTGTGGTTGTTTTTCCCCATCTTTTATTATTGTTTTGAATATAAATATGAACTCTTTAGCAATTTCAGAGCAGACATTATAGTTGAACACAACGAGAGAGGATTTATAAGGCTTCACATGTCTTTCTGTCACTTTTCAGGCCTTCCCACCCAGCGTCCTGCAGCCCCTACCAAAGAGACCAGCCCTGGAGAAGAGCAGCTGGGCCAGCTCTCTCCTTTCACCCAGTTTATTGCACTACCAGCAGGCTATGGCTAATTCACAGTTGCAGCAGGCTATGGCAGCATTTTATCCTGCAGGTGAGCTTCTTATCAGAGACGTTAATACAACTTTTATTAACATGCTTTAGATGCAGTGCCTTGCAAATTTCATACGTTAAATCTTTTCACAGTTTGGAACATTGCAACCACAATATTTAAAGTGTATTGTTTTGAGTTTATGTGATAAATCAACACATTAAGGTGTCACAAGCATGGTATGAGTTTTACTCCAGCTCAGTCAGATTGGATGGGAGCATTTTTGCACAGATATTCAGATAGTTCTGAAGGTCTGAGCTTTGGCTCGGCTAGGATACTTATAAGTCTGACTGAATGTCTGATCAGCTTTCCATCCTAATTAAATAAGAGGATCCCCAAAGCGTGGTTGTGTTTCACTGGGGTTGGTGTGTTCACAGTGATGCGTAGTGCTTGTTTTCTGCCATTTGGCTCATATTCCAATTGAGTCAAAATTGATTTTTCTCTCTGTAGATTTTTATACCTGAGCTGTGAATCTCTGCAGCTCCTTCAGAATTACCATGAACCTTTGAAAGTCTTTCCATCGGATCAAATATATTTTTGGCTTTTGGAATGTGAATACCTATAATAGTACAGCAAATTTGCATTCGATATATCCTTTGCAATGGCAATACTGCTCACATTAAACCTGTAATGACACCTGCAATTCAATATTTTTGCAGTCATGCAATAGTAATTTTTCATGCTGGACTGAACAGAGAGCTGTGAGATGCTTAAAGCTTGGGATATTGTTTTGAAACATAACTTTGCTTTAACTTTTCTATAACTTAATCTGTTTAGCTAATCTTTGATCTCCAAGATGCTGTTTGACTATTATGCACCGAGCAAACCTGTACAGCTTTCAATCTGATTTTTTTATTGAGATTAAATTATATAGAAAGTCTGTTTATTAATTTAACTCCTGAAATGGATCAAAGTCACATCAGACTGATTTGATTTCATAGTAATTTTTTAAAGCAGTTGACTGCTCTGGATTGCTTGCTACACCTTGATTTTATTTTTTTAATGAATAATTTGCAACACCTCATATCATTTTTTCTCCTACACTTCAATTATGTGCTGCTAGTGTTGCTCACATAAAATCCCAGGTCAATACAGTGACGATTGAAGGCACTGTGTATCTCATTTCTGGGTTTCAGTGATTCCATGATGTCAAAAACACTTTACATGGTCTTTCAAACCTAAGAATGCATTTGCAGGTCATATTGGGAATAAAGGGGTCTAATATATCAAGTTTTTCCAAAAGGATTCAAGGTTTATTTTTTATTTTTTTTTTGACAAATAAAAAAACTGTTCTTGAGTTTTATTAGCATTTGCTATGATTTCAATAGGCCTTTTTCTGAGCAAAATATTTAACTTTAGATACTGAGATACTTATGACTTTAAAGTTCATTTTTGTAACACTAGGTTACAGAAACAAAGATTTTTATTAACAAAAATCAATACTTTGATAAAGGAGCAAAACCAGTAGTAGTTGTGTGTATGGAAGAGAAAATGGCAAGAGGCAGGGCCAAGTTAATAAGCTGTCATTTTTCTACCAAATCCAAAAAATATTGACTAAAATTGTTGTTGCAGCAGCCTGTCAGCTATGTTATAAGTTACATCTGCAGGATGTCAGAAGGGATTGTTGTTTTCTGTTTCACCTTCTCAATCTCCGCAACTCTTTTTCAAAAGGAGGAAAAAAGACATTTGTTTTCCAAAATGTTTGATTTTTTTTTTTCCATTGAACATTAAAAATGAATTACTTTGAGATATTTACTTTAACGTGAAACCCCGTGATAAAAATATGGGGAACATTATCTATTTCAGCTGTAAGTATTTAAACACCAGGACATAAAAAATATTCAATTTCATGTGATGTTAACTCAGTAAACACCCAAAATCAGTTTGTAAAATAAACTAAATGTACTCAAACAGACATCAGGATGGTATTAGCAGTGCAGTCGATCAAATAACGTAATCCAGTGCTGTTTAAAAGTAGATATTTTAGGAGTTTGTTCCTCTGGATTATGTACAGTATGTGTTAGTGCAATGCCAAGGAGAAATGCCATTAACGGTGATCTCAGAGAATCAAATGTTGCCGCCCCTCCATCTGGAAAGGTAATAAGCGTTCATCACAACTGGCTATCATCCCAGCAGTTCATGTTTCATTAGGTTTGCCCCACTGTCAAACTGTGCAGTCCCCATTGAAAACATATTAAAACCAAGAGATGTGCATCTCAGCCATGCCTTTTGATTAGTTCAGAACAAAGTATACAACATAGCAGTGTGGGCATGCAATATTACTTCAAAAACAGACCAAAAGACCTTGGAGCAGCTAAAAAAAGGACCTGGGCTTATGAAGAGCTGGTAAATAAATACAAAGTTTAGCTGGCAAAGGTGACAAAAGCCCACAGTGAGTCTTTTTTGGTGGTTTTTTGTTGGTCTTACGGGTTTTTTCTATTTCTTAAACTCTTTTTGCAAACATCCACATATTCTGGGATGCTTAATGGAAATCTAGATTAAATTATAGTAGGTCTGCAATACAGTGCCATTTTTTCTGTTATTAAGGAACAGTACCATCATCAGTCAACAAAGTTTGTTTTATTGCTGTGAGGACATGATGACTCTTGTTTGCTTTTGGAGCCAACAGCAGAATATTTGGCATTTTTAGCTGGCAGCCAAGAGGTTTTAGTTAAAAGTAATAAGCAGGGATCAACAAATTGCTATAAGAAGAAAATATGAAGCACCTAAAAATGTTTGTATTTCCTGTGTTACTTTGATATCACTTATATGAATGGTTCTAACAATGGAAATCTTATTAGTGTTTGATGTAGATATAGTAACAATTACTGCTGCAAACCATCCTGTTTGGTTTTGCTTACTTTGAACATGATGATCGGAAATCTGTATGCTCAATTGAACACAATGATAACAACATGAATAATCAGACTTTTCTCATTATGGTGCTAACTATTGCTAACAACTCGATAGGATATCCTCTATGGATTCAAACAGTAAAAGAGCATTTTCAGATATGGACATTAGGCAATATGACTGATTTAATGTGATACTAATAAAAGTAAAACTGTTCATTTCTGCAACTTTAACTTGATGCTCTCATCCCTCACATTGGATACTGAACTTTTTGGCTGTCATTCAAGAAATTCCAACACTGGTAGCTATCCTATTTTATTTCCAACTCAGATCTAGGAACTTGTTCAAAACACGTCTTATGTAACATAATATACAAGTAAACACATTTTGTTTGATGACATGGAGAACCGAGCTGCAGAGGGACGTTACCCAAATAAATGCAGAACATTTTAAGCAAAATAAGCTTTAAATATATTGGAAATGAGATAATCAAAACTGTATCTGGGTGTTTTATTTACAGCATGACAAATAAAACACATAAATACATGAACTGTATTTCCTATGCTTTCTTGTTTGTTTACTAAACAGTGTAAACTGATGTTAATGTGTTGGTTAAACTGAGTTTGTTCTTCCCATTTTGTAATCACACAGGTTCTGTCTTGTGCATGACTCCTGCTAACAACATTGGTATGTTATTTCATCTTCTTCAAACTGTGTTCTCCAGTCGACAGATAACACAAAGATTAAATAATTTGTTTACAGCACCAGAAAACCAAAACGTCATTGTTTATTGAAACACGAGTTCTTATGGCACATTCTTTGTGCTTTTCTGATCATAAAAACCTTGGGTATAAAATTTCCTCTTTTATTCCAAATGGTTATTTTTGAAACTCCATCACTGTTTGTAGGTTTTCTATGCTGAAGAATTAGGAAATTTGTTCAGCATTCCTGACATTTAAAAGTTTAAAAATTTTAAGTATTTTTTTATATACATCTGTGCACTTGTGGTATTTGTCAATTTCTGAGCAAATTTCCTAATTAGATTTCTTATTAGCGCTCCTTTTATGTTTTCCCTTGCTGTCTTGCTTTGCCGTGTGATCACATGCCATCTGCTGGTCTAACCCAATGATGGCTTGCCGCTACTTTCATTGTATATTTGCTTGGCCAGAGAACGAGAAACATTGCTATGGTTACCATAACGCTCCACCTCCCTTTTCATTGCTTCCATGGTTCCCCTCCTGAAAAAGTCCCCATGATGTACAGTGCTACGCCTGCTACTGTCTCTGCAGCAGCCACTCCTGCCACAAGTGTCCCCTACGCAGCAACAGCACCAGCCAATCAGGTTTGCTCCTTTTTAAAGCTTTCTGTGGTAAATCCTTGAGCTCTGTATCAGTGCTTCATCTTTAAATCAGGGGAGTTGCTTCATCAGCATTGGGATGCCATGCTTGCTTTACAGCCATAAAGCTTCATGTACCTGTAGACCTTCAGCAGAACTGCTAGGCTGCATTTCATTCCTTTCCCTTACTATAGACAACACCTCTTAAGAAATCTTAACAGTGTTGTATTTATTTTTTTATTGCATGTTTTGTGCTTTGTTCAGTGTCGTCTTTTTAAGACTTAAACGGCAGCAAGAGGCTATATTAAGAAGTAAATGTCCTGTTTGTGAGCATGATATGTTTATTACATTTTTACTGAGATTTTTTTGTGACTCCTGCAGTAACTTTGCGAAGAGTGAAGCCAAAAGGAATAATAATAACAGTATAGTAGTCCTTCTTTTTTACTCAAAATCTTATTTAATGTGCAGTTACAGACAGAAATTTACACACACTCATCAACAGCATCGATGTCATGTTATATTTTTGGCTTTTAATGGCACATTTTAACAGTAATTTGTTTTGGGTGGACAGACACGACATAAAACATGTTATTCAAAAATAAGATATTAGAGCACAAGTAGGATTTTATTTCTCTGACCAACGAAAGTTGTATTGTACTTCCTACAAACAGGGTCTAATATATGCATACACCCGCACTGATCCATAGTCCATGCATTTTCAAAATGGCCAATCAAAACTAGTTTGGATATGTGTTTGGATCATCATTGTGTTTCACCTGTCAACAGTATAAAATATTTTAAAATGGTGTCATATTCAATATTTTTCACTTCTATTTATTTCCCCCATTTTTTTTTTTATCTCAATACATTTGTGGAATAAATACAGTGAAAATAATTGCCTTTAATTTTGTGTTGCAGATGAAAGCAACCAGCTCTTTGAAACAGGCTTTTCTTTATTTTTGGTTCAGGGTACAGAGTCCTCTAAAATGCAGGATTCTGTTGTTGAGGAATGTTAAATGTTCCTCAACATTTAACATTTTTAAATGTTGAGGAACATTTAAAAAGTGTTGTACTGCTAAGAAAAAAAAAAAATTTAAAAACCTGTTGTTTGAAACTATTCTTCTGCTTTTGGAACAGATCATCCTCAAGTAACCATCAGAAACAGACGTCAGTGCCACGTCGCAGCAGTTAAAGGTCTTTTTCAACCTCCGTACAAACAGTCTACTAGCATCACACACAGCATACAACAACCTGCATGTTAATAAAGTTGCTACTGAAATGAGGGTTACTTTGCATTTGCTGTAAGTGCACGCTTTTACGCCTGTGTTCAATGCATTTTCAATAATTTTTCGTGATGCGTTCCCCCCCCTTTGCCGGTTCTGTTGAAGTCAAGGATGAAAGCATTTTGTCTCGTTATACACATTGTACAGTAACCTGGTCTGTTAAAAAGGCACTACAACTAGAGAAGTCACAAACGGCAGACAAAACAGTGTAAATACAATATAAAAATCTTCTTTTGAACTAATCTTAACACAATTAATAGAGTTCTTACTTATAAACCATTTAAGTATATAGATATTTATGGTTGAAAACATTGAGTTTGGTCACAGAAATGTCAGGTTGGTCCTATATTGCAGATTACTTTTATCTTCTTGAATGTGCTATTTAATTAAAGTTTGTTTTTTTTTATGACAATTTCATAGTGCCAGATTTAAATATATTTAGCAAACCAGTGGAAAGCACTTATTCTAACTTTGAACCTCATGTTGTGTAAAATGATAGCTGGCTTATGGACATCCCTTTAAAATGCTCAGAGAGATCCCCAGAGAACTGGATCAGTGCTCCACCTTCTGGTGTGCCTTTGCATTGCATAGACAGGCTCTATGCTGAGAGGAAATGCTGTATAATTCATCTGATGTCAAATAGTAGACCCACTCATAAAACATTATGTCCTTTTAACAATATAAACTTCATATTACAAGTAAGATGCTTAGAAGATATGGTTTAAACTATAGGAAGAGCGGCTACAGACATGAGAGATTGCTTGGAATACAACTGCTAATATTTAAACTAAAGTTGTTGTGTGAACATTGTCAGAACTGTTTTGTTTGAATGTTACAAGTGCCTAAACAATCGTAGGTAGAATTGCAAAACACAGTCCATATTTTCACAAAAGTATAGAAGTTACTTTCTCTGAACTTAGAGCTTACTTTGAGTTCCTGGAACTTTCCTGAATCATATTAGTTACTTTCTCAAAACTTACTGAGTTCCTATAGAAAAGGAACAGCATTGTGAAGTGACTTTTCTTGAACTTACTATGTCTCAAATCAGTCCTATGTACCTTATAAGTACCCAGATACAACCCACCTCATAAATACAACCTGCCTCATGAAAACATTCAGTATGTTCCAGGAAGTACCTAGCAAGCTTCGTGTCGGTTCCTGAAAAGAAAACTTGGAAAGTTCCAGGAAAGTGTCAAGTTTTTAGGAAAGGACGACCTCTGCGTTCCTCCAAAGTAACCTCTAAATCCAGTGAAGTGCAGGCTGTATTTTATAGTGCTACTGAATTGTACATGCAATGACATCTGAGAATACTTCAAAAGTTTTGTGTGCAAATCACTTTGGTAATGTACTAATTAAGTCACTGATGTTTGAGATAGATTTCCATGCGTAGTTTGCAGTGCAATGTCAGTGCATTAGTATTTTCTCGAAATTCAAATAAGGTTTTGTCCTTGACTAAATTTCTCACAGACGTTCAAACTGGTGTATACTGTGCATAGGACCTAATATCCAGGTTTAAAAATTATATTGTTAAAAACTATGTTAAAATACTTTTTGGTTTGATAGAATTTCAGAAGTAAAAATTGTTTTGGTGAAATGTACTTGTGTGGTTAAACCATCACAGCAGCCAGACTGTCATTTGTTTCTTTTAAGAGAATAATTTCTCTCTTGTATATTTGTATTTTCTATTCCATCTTTTAGTTCTGTGTCTTACAAACTTTTGGCGATTCTGTGTTTGTTTACCATCTTTGAATCATTTTACACTTCATTAGTTGATACTAAAATAAGTACATATGGATATTTTGCTAGTTTTAGGACACTTAAAAATGTATCCTATTATATTTTATGATGAATGTAATTTATTAAACTGACTTTGGATCTGTTCAGTTCCTTAAAAACCTTGACTTGTAGTTTTAGCCTATTACAATAAAAGAATCAGGACAAAGAAGAAACTGAGAACATACAGTCCTCGTCACTGCCTTGTTACCTGTAAGAGACAACGAATGTCTGTATAAACAAGGCCGTTAAGTTGCTTGTTATGTGCAGAAGTGCATTGTACCACTTGTACAAAGGTCTGAAACTAAAACAGCTTGTGATTTAATGAGACTATTCAGATTGTTTGTATAGCACTTTCGTTTAAAATGTTACAAAGTGCTTCACGCGAGTATGTCATATGAGTTGGTTCAGAAAGATCTTCACAAGATTAGAATAATAAAATGTGTAATAAAGAAACTAAGATATTTAATTGGATGTCAGGAATTAAAGTGATTGAAAACTTTGCAAAATTATGCATACCCCTTGAAATTTCTTAATTTTCTTGTTCTAAAAAGCCACAAACTTCAGTATTTTACAGGTATTTAATAAACAAAGACAAAGTGGTCATAAAAGGATACATGATTTTGATTTATTTTAACATCAGATCAAAAGCATATGGAAAGCAGTTGTTTTTAAGCTCTGGTCTGCCTAAAGAAACTGTAACAGTAACAATTAGGCCTCCTAAGTTTCATATCTTTGGATCTGCAAAGACCTCAGTGGGAGAATCTTGACAACGCAACTCCTAATGTTTCACTTTGCAAATCTGGCCTTCAAGTAAGAGTGACAAAGAGTGGAAAGACATAAAAAGTACAGTTTGAAGTTTGTTACAAAGCAAGTATGGCACATAGCTAAAATGTGGAAGAAATGTAACCATTTGGCTTACGTCCAAAGTTGTATGTGTGGCAGAAAACCAGAGTCCCCCATGAAACAACTCAAGCCGTGCTGTGACACCTTTTGGTTGTCTGTAGGGTAAAAAGACCAGAATGGCATGTGGGGGTCTGCAGTCCACTCACTGTTACGCCTCTGGGATACAGCAGAAAGTTGTCACTGCTCCCTGTCAGCTGACATGTGTAGGAGTGAGCCAGCTTTCTGACTCAAAGGGTGATGTAGCGATTTACAGCAATCACTTCACTCACATCATTTCTTGGTATCAACACACCCCGGAGCGTTCGTGCTGGAGAGCACAGAGATGGGATAGATCACTGGCTGTCAGCCAAGGGTAGACTCTTCAGTAGCATTTATGCATGAAAAAGGACAAAATTAGTGAAGTGTCACTTCCCCAATGTGTTTAAATGCTTAGAACGGATGTTGGACAATCATTTTCCTCTTGTTTTTCAAAAGCTACGTTCTTAACTTGGTTTGTGGTTTATTGTGGTTTACAAAATAATTTTTTTTTGTGAAAAAGGATTCTAATGCCCTGGACATACAGTCTACTTTTGAAACATTGTCATGGCAGCATTAAGCTGAGAGGATGCTGGTCTGAGTTCAAATGAAGATGCGATGAACTAAATAGAGGGTAATCCTGGAAGAAACGCTGTTGGATGCTGGAAAGGGTTTGAGATTAAAGTTGAGTTCACTTTCTAGCAGGACATAGTAACTTTCAACATACAGCCAGAGCTACAGTCAAGTGATTATCGCAAGATTCATGTGTCCCAGTCAAAGTCCAGACTTAAATCTGCGTGAAAATCTGCATCCCTTCACAATCATGCCCTACTTTGTCTTTGTCTCTTAGATAAAAACCATGAAAATACTATGAAGCTTGTACTGGTAATGCAACAAAAGTGAATACTTTTGGAAGGAACTGCATATGTAAATTTATTTACAGAACCAAACAATTTACAGTGGACCAAAACACTAAAACTTTCTGCATACGTAGCCAAATTAGCTAACCCAAGACCTTACTAGTGTCTCTAAAAGTAAGAATATAATGAGTAAAAATCTACCCATCCCTTTTAATTGAGAATCTCAAATCTTATATAAAGTCCCTGATGTGAGTGCATTTCTTACACACTGCTCTATTCAGTGTTGAAGCATTAATAGTTCAGCAGCTGTATTCAATTTTAAAGTATGATTCCTTTTAACTTCAGTTTGTCACTAGCTGTGGATATGAGATTTTCTTTTCTTTTTATTCAACTTTCAAATGTAAAGCACATTTCTGAATATTTGTGTTACTTTTACGGACTAAGAGCTTAGCAGGAATACGCATGAGGCTGTTTCAGGGTTGGATATTTAAGACACGAGGATTCGGACATTAAGAATGTTCAGTCTTACTGAAAGAAACGCCTCTCTTCAGCACTTTGGCAACTGTCAAATGACTAAGAGGATTTATTTGTGATATTTGCCTTATCTTTGATCTATCCTGAGTTTGTATTTGTTCTGAAACTATTGCGTTGTTCAGTGATATAAATTTGACAGATGTTTTTGTTAATATTCAATAAGTTTGGAGTTGTGGTTGCAGATTGTATGACGAACCCAAATGACATACTGACATGCCTGACGTTTATTTGATTGATCAGCCTGGCAATGTGTATGATTCATTTAAAGAGTTAGCCATCTCTTATTAATGCAGCCATTCTGGTGAAATCAGGTTGCATCCTGGTGGGAGTTGTTTGTGCATAATAATACATTTCATGTGGACAGTTTTGTTCATGTAAATTCAAAATTGTGTAAAATTTGAGATATTGCAAATAAAGTAATGTCATATACATGCAATGCTGCGCAATCTGTTTTTTTTATACTTGTATTTTAATGTTTGTGACCCTATATCAGACCAAAGAAATCAATATTATCATCAGAATTTAGTTTGGACTCCAAAGGTTATCTGCTAAGTGGCATGTTAATTATATATTTTTAAAGTTTCCATACAGAATTTTCCAAAAATTTAATATAGTTTGTGATCTTTAGAGCTCCATGCTGTGCTCAGATTTTCTATTTGTTTTGCTATTTTGCTCTAAATTTTTAAGACAAAATGTACGTATCCCAAAAAATGAGCTTCCAGGTGCAAATGCCTCTACAACTGTAACATAAGGCAACCGATCAGCACTTTTGATAACATCATTTTTCTGTCTTCTTTTCCCCTCTTTATTGATGGGTTTTCCTACTTCTAAGATGTTACTCTGCACTGCTGCAACAGAGCAATCAAGCCATATGTGAGGAACCTGCATGGACCTCAGGAAAATCCGGCAACTATAAAACTCCTTGAAGAGTTTTTTGGGAAGAACCAGGGCAGACTGTGAAATCCAGATCTTGAACAATCACTTTCATAAGTGCGTTCCATTGAGATACTTTCCAGCTTCACAATGTTTATCTGATTAGCTTAATTCTTGTGCCTTTAGGGAAGCAATTGACCCAAATACACACAAGAAGAAATGGCTTCTTTTTTCTTCTGTGTGTTTTTTTAACATGTTGCTATGTTGGGAACAAAAATCAAATTCAATACTTAGTTACCATATTTATGTTAATAGTAGATTTACTCGGTGAAACTATTTACACACAGATATTGCCAGCAGGGAGGCTTCAGAAAGTTTTGTAATCTGTGGCCAAATGGGGAAAACTAATAATCTTCTGGTAGCTCTCTAGAACCAGAACCCATTAAAGAGCTTATGAAATATTTGTTACAGTTAAACCCAAAATGATTCTCCTGCCTCTGGCAGATTTACACTAAAGTAAACTTTTAATTATCTGATAAAGAATCTGTGGAGGGAGTTTAAAATTAAAGTGATGGGAGGAATCTTTCTAACCTTGGTATTGTCCAATTGAAAACATGCAAAAAGCTGGTTAGCAATTATAAGGATTTGACAGATTTTTCAACAGATTATTCAGAAGGTTACAAATAATTTTCGGCGTGCTATTTTTCTTAAATAGAATAAAAAAAGAGTAGATTTACAAAAATGATTATGTTTGGTTATTGTTTAAAAGATACCCGTCTCATTTATCAAAAACAAACTTCTTGGTTGAGTGGAAATTATTTTCAATCTAAATCTGCCAAAGGTATGAATAATTTTGAGATAAAAAAAAACAATAATAATCCATGTTTTCAAATATGTAGGTAATTTAAAAAATGATCTTACTTGAAATATTAGCACATAAAATTTTTGCGAAATTTGAAACATTGAAGGTCTTAATTCAAGCTCCTTCAAACTGTTTCAATATTTTCCAGCGTTAAAGCTTAAGACTAATTGTGACAGATTATGTTACATTACATTACATTGCAACCTTTTTTCCTCTTAATTTCATATTTAGAAAAAAAATATTAAGCATGTCAGGAAATTCTTTGGGTGCACATTGCCCAACATACCTCCACCACCGGAGCCCCTTCTCCTGCCACTGTGTGTCAGAGACAACGATATGCAGCGTTACCATAACAACAGCATCCGGTGCTTTTCTCCTCCTCTTGGATACACATCCTTGGAGCCAACCCTGTGATTGGCTGAGCCCTCCTTCGATGTCACCGTGGAAAACGAATGACGGGAATTTTAACACATGAACGGAAGCGACTCCGCGGAATCTCACTGGCTCCCGCAGCGAGGCTCCCATTCAGACCCGAGTGAGGCCTGCGAGCCGCGGAGGTCGCCATTGGGCTGCTTTCTTGTCCGTCAGATTTGGGAGGGGCGTCTTGTTTTTTTTTTTGTGTGTTTTTTTTTTTTTGTTTTGTTTTTTTATATTTATTTATTCCCCTGTTGCCTCGGTACGGAAGCCGAGCGGGGACCGGCTGGTTACGCAGCGGCCGCGGGTCACCACCCGAGAGAATGGCGGCTGGAATCTGCTCCGGGTCGCGGTGAAGGGGGTGAGAGAGAGAGAGAAGAGGAGACATGCCGGAGATGGTGAAGAAAAAACAAAGAGACGCAAGTTCTGTGATTTGGTGTCGCTGCTTGTGTTGCTTTCCCCCACAGCCTAAGAAATTGTGCCTGTAGTTTTTATCAAACCCCACGTTTCCACTTTCAGCGTTCTCGATGGAGCAAGTTTGTTTTTTTGTGATGCACACATGAGGGCTGAGGGAAGCTGATGAAAACCCCGCACGGTCCACATCATCGGGCGATATTTTCATCTTCCCTGTGCGCGTTTTTTTGGGGGGTGGGTTCGGGGGAACAGCTGCAGTCCACGGATGCCAGCGTTTGGCCTGTCTGCGATGGGGAAGAATTTCCACAATGAAACCCTCCGAGTCTTTGTGCTCTGCATTAGTTGAGCAATGACAGCGCTGTTGACGAGCCCGTTCAAAACGGGACGCGGATGGTGAGCGCAGTGGGGAGGGGGGGGGAGGAAACATTTTGACTTTATTTCAATGACGCGTGGAGATTGATATCCCTTACCAGCTGATTAAAAACCCACGATGCGCGAGTATAAAGTGGTGGTCCTGGGCAGCGGTGGAGTCGGGAAATCAGCCCTCACCGTGCAGTTTGTCACCGGGACGTTCATCGAGAAGTACGACCCCACCATAGAGGATTTCTACCGCAAGGAGATCGAGGTGGACTCCTCGCCCTCGGTGCTGGAGATCCTGGACACCGCCGGTACGGAGCAGTTCGCCTCCATGCGGGACCTGTACATCAAGAACGGACAGGGCTTCATACTGGTCTACAGCCTGGTCAACCAGCAGAGCTTTCAGGACATAAAGCCCATGAGGGATCAGATCATCAGAGTGAAAAGGTTGGTGCAATGTTAACGCTACTTCCTAAACTCACTTTAGAGAGAGTTTGCCATGTGTCAAAACTGCCACGGTAAGTTTTTGCTTTGTATTTTTTTTTTTTGCCCTTTTGTTGCAAATAAAGGTACGTAATCGAAAATAAAAACCTACCTATCAAATTCAAGCTTCACATCACCGTATAGTGACATCAGGTACGGTCATGGCTCTCAAACCAAGTGAAATACTAGTGGTGGGGACTGCGTGTAGAGGAAATCAGATCACATATTGGTGCAATGTAAATGCAGACAAATTAGAAAAGCTTGTGAGTTCCAACAGCTGTAAAGAGGAGGTGTTCATGCACATAAAAAATTTTTTTTTTTTTTTTTTTTTTTTTTTAAAGTGTAGTGGTAAAGATGTTGAGAAGTCACTGTATGAACTGAAGCATACAAACTAAAAACAAGCTTTGGTGGCTTATGCTGCTTTTAATGTTCCTCTGAAGTTGGAAGTGCATCTGGGAATTCAGCATGTAGGTGTTTTTGTGAATAGGTAAAGAACAGCCTGAGATGGACAGACTTTACTATCAAAGATCTTTAACACTACTTTCTGGCCAAGATCTTGGTTAAATGTTATATTAATAGTTCAATTTTTTGATTTATAGATAAGCTCAAAGGTGGAACAGCTAGGGCTGAACAAATAAATGTTATTGAATTTTCTCACAAAGTACAAGCAAAGGAAACTTATACACAGCAAATATGTTTCTGACTCATAGATCACACCATGGTGATCTGGCAGTCCTGCTCCTTCGTTGCTGCTTTCTTATGAAAACACCACCAGACAATGCTGACCTCACTCTCTCGTTCCCACAGGAATGCACACGGTTGCCTTTTAGCTCTTAGCAGACAAACTAATGTTGAACCGCACAGACCGATAATTGTTGGAACGAGCATCGCCTGCGTTACCTGTTGTTTTTTTTTTGTTTGTTTGTTTGTTTGTTTGTTTGTTTTTTCCAAAATAGAATTGCTGTAGGAGTCAAAAATAAAAGGTGCTGCAAAGTAAAGGTTTTAATAGTACCGATTAAAGATTTTTTGAATGTCAAAAACATACACGGTATCACATTGCACCAATACTTTTCTATTGTAAGGTTCAAATGAAGAATTGGTGACCGTTTCCATTGCCATCATTCCAATCAACATCAGGAGGAATAATTAAAGAAAAACTCCCACTGCTCGGCAGTCAGAAAGTGAGTTGTGATGTGGTATGAGTTCAGACTGTGTGTCATGCCATTTTATGTAACAATCACATAACTATTTAAAGTCACACAAGCAGAATAGGGCATTTACTCATTTTATCAGAGATGAAAAATGCACAGAGAATAATCAGTAGGAATTATTAACACTTGGACCAATAATGAACACTATTGTCTCCATCATTGGCATATATGGTAGTAGTATCCAACATGGCAGCTCAAATATTTTGAAAGCCTGTCAAAAGTTGCTTATTTGAGAGCATTCAACTAATGGCAGCAGATCATCTCGATTCCTGTGATTCTTCTGATCTTATCGACCCAAATGCATGCAACTGGATGGTATCTGTAAGTATAAATGTTGAAAACAAATTTTCACATCTAAAATGAGCTCGTCGGTGTAGCTCTTTAATTTGAGCTGACCAGGGTAGGATCAGTTAAGATGCTGTTCCTACAGTTTTAATGTTGCTTTCGGCGTTTTGTTTTGTTTTTATCTCACCCACCGATTCTATAAGTTGGTAAATGTCCAAACAGGACAAACATCAATGTGAAGTCATTTCTCAAAACTTTTTAAATGTTTGATCTTAGACTTGCTCGTAAAAAGACATTTCCAGCATATTATGTACAATCAATTATGTTCCAGTTTGCTGCTATATCAACATATCTCAAGGTTTAACTGGGGTACAAATTCAAAACTCTTCATTTTTCCCCGTGTAATTCCTTTTAACAAGATGCCGACGTGTTTATTGATTCTAGTTTAATTTATATTCTGTGTTCCCTTTATTTGTTTAGATCAGCCTCCTTTCTGTTTTACTTTAGCTCTGTCCTTTTTAAGTGATTCTAGTTTTATTATGTTTACTTATGTTTCTCGTGTCTAGTTAATGTGAGATTAATTTCTTAGTCCCAGTGTACTCTCTCTGCAACCCGTTAGCTAATCAGCCCAGGTTCTTTGTTCTAACCTTCACTCTCCCAGTACTTATACACTTTTTCTCCTCTCACCCTTGCTGGGTCCTCCTGTTGCCTCCCTGTTTCATTCTGCTTGTTTTTTGTTCTTCTCTGACTCCCTACTTTCCCTGTGATTTTTGTACATTTTTGCTCTTCATCTTTTATTAAAACTTCAAATCTATTGGCCATCTCTGCCTTGCCGCCTTCGGGTCCTCCATCAGCATAATCAATCATGAGAACCAGAGACGATAAAGTGTAAGATAAAAATGTTAAACTCTTACAAAATGCAAACCCTAAGTACTTTCTTTAAATTGGATACTATATTTCTAGACAATGCTCTGTCCTTGCAAGTTGTTTAAGAACGGAATTACTTGGAGAAGATACTGTCATCATCTGGAAATCTCTCGAAATCAATATATGGGTCAAGTTCTGGTATCAAGATGTACCAAAGTTTAAAAAAAAAAACTGCAGCTTAAGCCAGATACATATTTCCATCATTACTGTTCATACAGTTTAAAGATCTTTTATTGAGATGCCAGAAAAAAAATGTTGGAATGACTGAAGTTTTCTTCAGCTGCATGGTGCAAAGGTTGATATGCTTGACCGTCCTCCGCATGTTGCCATGCACTGCCAGTCAACTGTCTGAAAGAATGTCCTGAGCAGATTCCCTTCTGTATAACAAAAATACATTTATCTGTACGGAAATATAACTAACATTATAGCTGTAAAAATCGTTATTTTAAAGGAAACTAGGATTACTTTGCTTCTCTGATTCAAATAAATTAGTTAATGTGACACGTGTTTGCTTAAAATTGTTACCTCAAGGTTGTCATACTATGAGAATCTCAAACCAGCCTATGACTAATGTCTGCTGTGCTGGATACTGCTACTGATAACCAGCCGTGAATGCTGTGTAGTCAGTATTACAGAGGCTCTGCAGAGAGATCCAAAGAAGTGCAGCTTTCACTACTGAAAGGATGAGTACAGCACTCGCTCTCATGTCAGCTTCTGCAGAGGAAAGTCCATGCACAATGTCAGTAGGAGGAGCAGATGATCCCAATATGAGGTCATCAGTGAGAACTGCTGATTTCCTCTGTAGAGATGACTGTGTTACTGTTGCTGCTCAGCTTTAGTCCCATTTACTGTGCAGACGTGCTTTATGCTTACATTTCACAATGTCGCAATGTCCCGCTGTGAACTTAAGTGTGCAGATTCACAGAAGCAGCAGCCTTGCTGTTTTTATTCGACCACTTTGTGAGTTTCAGTGTGCAGGCACAGTTCACTGACCTATAAAAGGGGCGCTTCATCAGACACTGGGGACGAGAGCCAACGGACTCAGAATTAAACTCAGCTTAAGGCTAAATTACACTGTTATCCTATAGACACAAGCCGGCATTAAATCATTAAGGTGGCATTACTAATTATTTGACTTTGATTAGCGATACCACAGTGTAAGACTCTGTGTTTACTCAATAATTAAAAAAAGACGTTACAGTCATCTAACAGATTCAATGTCAGACAGATGAGGAGTATTTTTTCAAAGTTTTACTAAAATAATACAGGACCGTAATGATCGCTTGTCAATTAATTACTTATTACAAAATGTATTTGTTTTGATTTTATATAAAGCCGTAAGCTAAAATTAGAATAAGCCACCTCTAGTTTTAGGTGTAATTTCCCAAATGCTTATTACTTCATATTTAATGACTTTTTTCCTGTCTGTTTTCATACGAACACTGCAAGCGTTAGCTGGCAGTGTTAGCTAATTAGTCAAACTATCTGCTCCGATAGCGAGCACACAGGCATGCTGCCAATTGAAGTTTTAAAACAGTGTTCAGTAAGTAAGAGCGGAAAGTCCTTTGGTTTCACCAGTGTGACTTTGTTTTTGTTTTGTTTTCTGTCCTGAAGTATTTCCTTTAAGTTTTCTTTCAGTTTGTTTATCTATTTATCTTTACGGCTCATTAGACACTGGGGATGACAGTCAAAGGGCTCGTCCAGTATGTTTGTGTTTTGGGAGTGCTGTGTCCTCTCAAAACGCCAGTTCTGTTCAAGTCTTTTATACCTATGAAAGATTTTACTTTTTATAGGTATATATTTGAGTAAAATGAACGTTGTTTTTTTATTCTACGAACTTCTGAGACATTTCCAAACTTTTAAGCAAAAATGTGTATTTATCTGTAAAAGAAAAAAAAAAGAAATGGTCAAAATAATGAAACGGATGCAGTACTGTCAGACCTCAAATAATGCAAAGAAAACAACAATACTAATGTTTTAATTCAGGAAAATTCAGAAATCAATTTTTGGTAGAATATTCATGAGGTTTTCAATGGGGGTTCAGTGCAGTGGTCTCTTAATTTTTTTTTTTCCATTCTTCGTATGAGGGACCCCTGCTAAGTCCAAAACTATTTGCAGTCAGTTGGGCTTTCTTACATCTACAACATTTTACTATCTGTATAAATAAACTGAGAGAAAGGAAGAAAGGAAGTATTTAAAACCAAACTAATTTGTCTTTTTGTTTTTTATAAGCAATAAAAACATTTAAGAGGTTTCTTTCACCTTTGCTGGATGGCAGTTTACAGCAAAGAGGTCTGGTCGCATCTTTAATTTTCATTGCGATCTCATTGAAATGTCTTGAATCTGTACCTCGCCATGTCTCAATACTAGAAAATGTCTCACGCCAAAATGGAGCGAATTACTTTGTTCGAGCCTCATCATGTGGAGTTTGCAGAAGAGTCTGACTTGAGGGTTGTAGTTTTCCGTCCCCTATGACAGTCGTGTCAATATCTGATCCGTCATGCTTCATAAAAATGCAACAACCAACATAAATGTGCTTGT